TGGGGGCAATATGCTGACTCTCTGTAAACCGCTTAGAGAGGGCTGAAAGCCCTATGAAGCGGTATATAAGTCTACTGCTATTGCTATTGCTATGACACCCTTCCGTTGATGATATAACAGAAATGACATCTTTATTTCGAATTGCAGTGGGTTCTGTACTGCAGCTTTTTTGCTTGGAAAACAGAATATTTATTTGACTGGTGGAAAATGTTGAAATGTCCTTTTTTTGTCTCTTCTTGCCACAAATTATACCCACCAGAGAGAACACTTACCAAAATAACATTGGTTTTCTTTAGTTGACAGAAGTTATTGTTAATGAAGTTCTCAATGGAGCTGATGGAAGCAATATCAAGTGTGGTGTAATAGGAGAAATTGGCTGCTCTTGGCCTCTGACAGACAGTGAAAACAGAGTTCTGAAAGCAACAGCACATGCCCAGGCCCAACTTGGCTGTCCAGTCATCATCCATCCAGGTCGAAATGTGGATTCACCTTTCCAGATCATTAGAATTTTGCAGGAAGCTGGGGCTGACATCTCAAAAACTGTGATGTCTCATTTGGACAGGTAAATTGGCTTTCAGGCAACTGAACTCTTATTTACGTGTTGTATATTTATTTTTGCATCTGAAGAGTGGAATTTTAAGGAATTAATTAAATCTATATACCATGTTTTGATATATCATTAGACAGAATAGCTTAATTTTTACTTACTGGCAGTTGTAGTTATAATGCTTAGATGAATTATCAAAAAGTTAGTGACAAATTCTTTAAAAATACTCAAAACTAAATAGTTTAAAGGAGCACTCAGTTCTGCTAAAATCTAGTTGTTTTTTTAAAGCCTAGCTGCTTTGTAGATTATAACATTCATTTATATGTAAGTGTCTTCTTAGTCCCTGGTTGGTTACCTTAAATAGATTGTATTTTTCAAATGAAATAGACTCAAAATCTACTTAATATTATCCAGTTCTATTTATGTCAGAGAACTGTTCTGATTCATAATTCAAAATATTTTATTGATGTATAGCTCTTACAGCATTGTTTATATTTTATGAAGCCATACATACCTCTTCTGGGTACCTGTGCTATTCTTCCAATATTTCACAGGAAAAATTGTCAGCTTTTTCTATCCTTTTTGTTAAACCTTTCCAGCTTATGTACATCTCCTTCCTTCATCTGGATATCTACATAGTATGCCCAAGAAACTGTAATTCTAATTCCCATATTTCACAGATACTTTTGTCTCTTGTTTACTATTTATGATTCCATTTTTAAAAAATGAAATATTTCACACTAGGTCCATTGATGTCTTGAATAAAGTATAAGTATAATCTTCATTGTCATTGTACTTAAATACAACGAAATTAGCTATGACATGATATATTTATATTTTGGAAAAGAAATAGTTCCTATGCATAACAACCTTCCAGTGTCTCTTAGTTCAGAAGTCCCCAACCCCAGGGCTGTAGCTCACTACCGGGCTTTGTCCTATTTGCAACTGGGCCACGGGCTGGTGTAAACAAGCATGATGCAGCTTGATTAATGTGAGCAGCAGGCCAGCATAGTTTGATGCAAGCGGCCAGCTGAGAAGCATGTGCATGTAACTTGCAGTCAAACTACTTGTGCATGTGTGTGTGTCTTGGCCCATTGCTTACGTCAATTGAGCTGAATGTGTGCTCCCACACATCACTCACATGGCCTGGTTCCCTTCTCACCCTCAGCCAGGCTGCCAAGCCGCAAAGGTTGGGGACTGCTGTCCTGGTTTGTGGTATACAATAGTTTTCACATAAAACTGCTTATCATTGCCTCCTTATTGCTGTCTAAGTATTAATCTATCTAGATGTTTTAAATTAACATGGAATTTTGTAGCAAGGTTACAGTAAATTGGATATGAAGCTGGATGCCCTATTAATGTTTCCACCGGGATAAAGAAATACAGTTTTGTGGTCGCCAGTCAAGACAAACAACAAGGCAAGTTAGGTTGACGTACCTCAAGTAGACTTGGCCCTGGATAAGTCAATTGATGTTGATGTTCCTGACTTGCTGTAGGACTGATGGACTGAGAAGGACCATGTATTGCAGTATATGGCCCTTCTCAGAATATGAAAATAGTTAAGATAGAACAGTGAAGTTATAGAGCAGTGATGGTGAACCTATGGCACCTATGGCCAGAAGTGGCATGCAGAGCCATCTCTCCAGGCACACCAGCCATCACCTGTTGTTCTTCCAGGTTCTGGCGTGCATATGTGTGTCATCCAGCTCGTCTTTGTGCATGTGGGAGTGCTGGAAACCGGAAGAACAGCTCCCTGGTGCACACGTGTATGGCGGGAAACTGAGCTTCTAGTTTCTGGTGCTCCCACGTGTGTGCATCAGGAAGTTGCTCTTCCAGTTTTTAATGTTACTCCCCACACACATACTCCCATTTCAGCAGTCAGTGCTGAAAAGGTTCGCCAACACTGTCACAGAGTGTACATTTTGCAAGGAGAAAAGTTCTAAATTGTATCCACGATATCTCTGAGTAATATTTAGAAAAAAATGCCACGTTAATTTGGTTAATTGTCACCAGTGTTCACAAGTCCCTCTGTTTGTGTGTTGACCAATCTTCCTGTTGGCCTTCCCTGAATCAATTGTCAAAGTTTTGAGCTTTTTTATAATATGTAAACTGATATTAGAAATATATCTGTAGAACAAGTAACCTTCAATAGCTCAAGAGCTAGCTGTTTGAGGACAATGATGAATCTTTATCATTTTCCAGAGTTTTTAACGTTTGTAACAATAATACCAGGCAAATAAATGTAATGTTGGAAAAGACAGTGGGCTTTACTAGATGACTCATTTTGTATTAGAACAGCAAGGTATGGCTTCTGAAAACAAAAACAATATTGCACTTAATCAAGAGTATAGCAATGAATGTTCCCTTTCTTCAACTGAGAAAAATGATCTATATATCCGAGTCTCTGTGACCTTGTGTGGCCGGATGTTGGCAACTTGACAATTATTGATTAGCATTACCAACAGATTGAAGCTATTTTGAACATATAACTATCATGAAAATATGGGATGCACTATTCTTTCTGTAGCACTTCCATAATAGCACTTCCCTTCAAATAAAAATGAAGGATTGGCAAACTTGGTAAGTTTTTCAGATTTGATGAACATTCTGGAGAAAAGAGTCTAAAGCAGCCCAGTTAGAAGAGTCCCATGAATTTCAAGAGAAATGAAGCCATGGCTGGAAAGGGGAACAGAATGGCATGTTCTGGAGTAGTGTTTCTTAAACTTTGTGATTTCAGGACCCACTTTTAAAAATTATGGAGGACCCCAAAAGATTTTTAATTTGTAGATTTTGTGGATCTCTGAGAGTGTCTTGATGCATCCCCAGGAATCCTTAGATCACACTGTTAAAAATAAATACTCTTCTAGAGGCATTGCTGATTGAAAAATAAGCATGAGTAGAGGTCACAATGCTGAAACTTTTTATTATAGATCCTTGAAGGAAAGTAAATATGCTACCAACCTATTTTTCCATTCTGCTCATCTGTGAGGCATTAGAAGAAAAATAGACTTTTTCCAGATTGCAAATACTTCTCTGTCTGATTGCCTAGAGGTGAACCTTGATTGCCTCAGGTAATCAGGCTGGTGGTTATTAACAGGCCTCATTTAAATGAATTCCCTTTTCTTTTATATGTTAACTAAAAGATTGCTGGCATCATCCTTTGATTTGTGATATCAAATAAAGACAAAATAGAGTACACTGTGGTTCTTCAAAATAGACATTTATCTTTATAAAATTTTCCCCACTTCAGTATCTAGAGGTGTCTTTATGAAAACCCAAAAAAGCATGGCAATTTGAAAAACTTGTTAGTTACCATTTCCGATTTATGTAAACTCTGAAAATTACTGAAAAAAAATGTATTAGTTAGCGTTGGCAGGAGTGAGGAGAGCATGGTGGCCTGGTGGTGAAGACGCTCACTTCCCACTGGGAAGATTAAAAGTTCAATCCTAGACAGCGGCAGATGTTTCTCTCAGGGTGCAAAGATAAAAGCCTGCTGCAAATACCATATAGCATCAAGAAGAGCATCCGGCCAGTAAATCCTCAACTCCATTCAATCCCAACTGTACCCTGAATCAAGGGATCGCCGAAAGAAAGAAAGAAAAAAGAAGTGTGATTCCTGCTGGTGGCAGTTATTTTTTTAACAAGGGTTTCTTTCATCCTACCTGTTCCTCTTCCTTGATATTCTTGTTCAGTCAAAACATTGCATTTTTGTAAACAGTTATTTTTAGAATAACACATTGTGATGTGATTGAAGGATCACTAGTAACTTGTAAGACATTAAGCACCAGTATTTGAAGTTGCACATATTTGTGTATGCTTTTCATTTTGTTCGATATGATTCTTTCCTGAATCTATAATTTATTACCATTCCAACACAAATCATAGACACAGGAACTTTCTCATATTAGTTGATTGTCTCCATATTATCATGCAGCAAGAAATGCTTGATCACATGTCATGTTTGATCTATGGAATACTTTCTCTCCTTGCCTTTGGCTGAATTTAGAAAATTAATCAAATCAATGATAAAAATATGGAGTGTTGCCCTTTCATTGCTCTAGGTTAGTCCTATTTCAAACCGAAAGTACATATTAAAGCCCAGACAAGTGTTTCTCAAAATACGGTTCAAGGATCCCTGGGGATCCACCAAGACCCTCTCAAGAATCTGTGAAATCAAATTTATTTGCCAGTCACTGAAAAATAATAGAATATTAAAATCTCATCAGACAATTGTGAAAAGTGGTAGTAGCAGTGAATGTGGTTTTTTAAAAAATACAGTAAATAAATATAACCCATAAAAACAAGCTCTTTTTTGGGACCTCTGTAATTTTTGAAACTGGGAATAAGTGCTGGGAGGAAAGAACTTTAAGAAATATTAGCCTAGAGCAGGGCTGTCAAACTTGCAGCCTATAGGCTGGATGCATCACTTTCTGGCCATGGCCATGCCAGAAGGGGAAGTGAAGGGGGGGGGGTTTACAATACATCACATGATAACATGATGATGTCGTGACAACGCAAGTTTGACACTCTGGCCTAGAGGAGCTATTAGTAAATAAACTATTTGTAAGCAGCTCAGTGCTTGTAAACTGGTTCATATTTATAACAATTGCAGTGTCCCATGGTCATGTGATCACCTTTTTAAATCTTCAGACTGGCAAAGTCAATGTGGAAGCCAGATTCAATTATCAAATATATTATTAACTTAACAACTGCAGTGATTCACTTAACAATTGTGGCAAGAGAGGTCATAGAATGGGGGGAAACTCACTTGACAACTATCTTACTTATCAACAGAAATTTTGGGGTCAAAATTCGAGGACTACCTGTAATTGTTATTGTACAACTTTATTATTACGTTTGCCTGCTCTCTTTTATAATATAAAACAATACAATGTTGTAGGTTTGGGGGGGCATTGAATATAACCAGATTTTTAAATATTCCAGATGTTTATGAATTGATTAGTGTTAAAAATGACCTGATGGTTTTAGTTTTATTTAAAATATATACCTCAAACCATTCCACCCAAGGCAACTTGTTTTGATTCAGAAATTTCAAGTCCTAATGATGGCAAAAGTAAAAATATTCTGAATAAATATAAAGTAATGATATAAGACAGCAGTATTTGAAGACATATTTATTGTTTGGAATACTTAGTTTTTTCTTTACGGCATATATTACCAAAGAATTGAAAAGATAAATACACGTTACTCGTCTGATAAACAGGATGTGTATAAAATAGCAATATTTATAAATACGACTAGGTCAGAATCTCTACAGGTCTTTTAATTTATTTTGGATTTATTTGAGAGGGACTTGTTAATTATAAAGCAATATGTGCTATATTTGTGAACTTATTAAATGACATAAAACATTTCAGTTGATTGTGAAACAAATTTATGGTGTACATTGGTTTTTGTGCAGGACTATATTTGATGAGAAGAAACTATTAGAGTTTGCCAAACTTGGATGCTACTTAGAATATGACCTTTTTGGAACCGAATTTATTTCCTATCATATGAATCCTGATATTGACATGCCAAGTGACAACGAAAGAATTTTACGGTAGGTATTCCAATGTCATAACACATTTAGACTGAAACATTTGTTGATGATAGAAATGTCATTGGTATCCAGGTTTAAAAGGCCATAAGATTAGCCCACTTGTCATTTACATCATCATGACATGTGTGCTGTCTGTTCATAAATTGTATCATAGTTACTTGACATATCCTTTATAGTTAGTTCCCGAAGGCCATGGTTCATTATCTCTTTCTCAACTAGGATATCCAAGGAAATTCTTTGGAGCCTAATGGGACTCCTAAACAAGCATATATCTTGGGAACATTACATACCTTTGCCATTTCATATTTTACTAAATTTGTGATACAGTTGTCCACTTTAAAACATATAAAATGTGTAGTTTGTTATAAATATGTTTTCAGTAGAAGACATGCATTACTCTTAAGATTTTAAGATCACATATATGCACAACCTATTGAAAATTAATGTAAACACAGGACAGACTTATGAATGACCACATGCAAAACTGATTTAAATAAAAAGTAATCTCATCAGACCAGTTTTTTTCTAGTCATGGTTCAGAGAGAAGTTAAATAGCTTTCCCCATATGAAGTTTCTTTTCTCCTTTGGTAGACATTGTTAATAAAGGGACAGAAAGACATTATTCTTTCTAAAGGTAGAAGATCATCTTCTCTCAATCTGGAAGGAAAACAGACATTATAGGAAATATAGCATAAGTTCTTCCTTCTCACACATGCTGTCCTTTATATCATTTGTTTAGAAAATTGGCATCAATCACATTAAAACATCTAATTCTACTTCTTGCTTTTAGAAATACTAGGCAGTTTCCTGCTTAGCTATAATTCATAAACCATCCTCATCATCTACTCATAATAGGAACTTTAGTTAATATTATAGTTAAGTCATAAATCATGGCGAGTACTTAAATAAATGGAATATGTAGTGTTGTACTCAAAAGAGTGCAGATTGTACAAGAGTTTTATATTTTCATTAGATGCTATAGTAGGAAACTGCATCTCCCTACCCAAAATATGGAGAACAATTTTATGCACTGTTCTGTTCAGGTAAAATAGTCCATGTTTTACAATGTGCAAAAAATAAAGGTAAATAATCATAAAAAAGAAAGAAAACACAGGGTATAAAAGAGAAGAAAGTCTTAGTAAATTTAGAGTGTACATAAAAAGTCTACAATTTCTGTTAAAATGCCAGGTTTTTGAGTTGTAAAAAACCAGACCAAGATAAAACACTTCAGAATTGTTTTCATCTTTAATATAACACATAAGCTATATAATTCAGTTGAAACAAACTGAAATCTTTTAAGGGTGGGGGGATGGAATAATAATGAAAACATACAGGAACATGGTTGCATAAGTGTGCCCATCATCTCGTAAGAACTTAGAGGAAATTATGAACAATTCTAAATATCAGTCAACTTTGGCACAAAAACTTCAGGTCTCTGCTATAATACCGGAGACAGGAATTTCATCTTTCAACATGACAGTGACTCAAAGCATAATTCCAAATCAACAAAATAATGGATTCATCAGAAGAAGATGTAAGTTTTGGAATTGTCCAACCGGAGCCCAGACCTGAATCTAATTGAAAATCTGTGGGGTAGCCTAAAGAAAACTATGCACAGGAGATGCCCTCACAACAGATTTGGGCTTCTTTTTGCAAGGAAGTATGGGCAAAGATTCCCAAGGGAAGATGTGCTATGCTGATAGGCTCCTACTCTAAAAGACTGATGCTGGTTTAAAATCAAAAGGTACTTTGCCAAAATATTAGTTTAAGGATATGCACACTTATGCAATTGTTATTGTATGTTTTTATTGTTATATCCCCCCCCCCAAAAAAATATTTCAATTTGTTTTTCAATTGAATTGTATAACTCACATGTTATATTAAAGATGAAAAATTCTGAAGTAATTCTGAAGGGATGTGTAGTATATACCATATGTTTATGTACTTTAACAAATGCCAAAATGTAAGTTGTTGAACAAGTTGATTTCTTAGTTCTGGACAATTTTTTAACCAGGTAGCTGAGTCACATAAAATCTATATCAGGTTAATAATATTTTTATTTTTAAAGGGGATTAAAATAGATACAGAGAGCATAGTCTCTGTTTGTTTCTTGTCAACCTACCCTATGATTGATGAACATGAAATCATTCTTACATCATCTGCTTACTTACTTTCAGTTTAGTTGATAGAAAAGTCATGAGAGTCAATGTTGCAATTTCACCTTGAGCAGCCAAGGTTCAAAATTACTTTTGAGCCAATGATTAACAGCCTAGCTGTTTTGGTGTTCAACCAAAAAACAAAACAAACATACAGAATCCTGGAGGCAGGAACACTATATTTTATGCTCCTGAAAGAAAGTGGGATGTAAAACTAACCAAAAAAAAACCTGAATAAATGTATGATGCCATTCTAATATGGCTCATTCTCCTACAGTTACTTCATTCCCAGATAGTCTTTAGAATGGTCTTCACTGAAGGTGACAAAAGGCAATATAAAGAGATGAAATGGCTTTTATTCACTTATTTATGCTACAACTATTTTTGATGGCTTTCTGGGACTTCAGTTACTTGTTGAAGCAGATACTGCAACAAATATTGTTTCAGTTGGCTTTCTCATAGTCGTATAAATTGACCTATGTGTCTATAAAATTGGAGGATGACTTTTTTCATGCAATTTGCAATCAGCTTTGCTAATTTGAGAATAAAGGTGGGGAATGGTCATTTAATTTGCATGGAAATCATTTCAAGATGTGTCTTGACATAGTATAGATTTGTTCCTCTGTAGTTTTACAAAAGTTATTGAGGAGTGAAATAATAATTCTGCTATGGTGAGAAATTTATATAGAGAGAAATGTATTTCTCATTCATCATAGTCATTATAACCAGATTGCTTTTACTCGAGTTATCCAAGGAAGTTTGACATAGGTTAAACTATTACCTTCTGTAATGCTATATTAGTATTTGTAATGTTTCATAGCTCACTTCTGGTTTTAATGATTGCATGGAGTTCAGTTATATCCATCAGTAAGCAAGATGGACAACTCCTATTGCTTGAAGTCAAATAGTCTGACTTCATTTATCTCACTGTGATCATGAGGTTTCTTCTAATGAGCTAGAACTGGCTATTACAAATCCATCCAATTATCTGAAGTTCAATGATTTCAGTGCAGAAAATTGGTCATGTTCCAATTACTGAACCATGTAAACATTCCAGTATGTATTTGTTTAAATTACTTTCATATTGTGTTTGTAGGGGAAAAATATTCCCAAGTGTAGTGGTTTAAAAAAGAAAAACACAAATCATTATTGAACTTTTTTGTTAATCAGACTCCTCAACTGACCTTGACCTCTTATTCAGAAGTGTAGGAAACAATATTTCTTATAATGGCTGTTCATGAATCTGTGGTGTTCATTGTTGTATGGCTATGTGGTATATCTGAGATAGACTTCTTTTAGATAAATTGGTCATCTACCATCCTCATGCACCAGAAAGTTCAAAAAGGTATGTTAATGTATAATAAAAGTTATATGTCTGAAGGCCAAGCTCTTAATATTACTGAATTGAAATAGTAGATTTATGTGTGGTAGATTTGATTGTTTTGTTAAATTTATTTTATGATTTGTCTAACCCATTAGGCCAAATATCTCTTCCCATTCAACTGTTGGGCTTCATTAGTATGCCACTTACTTTAGTCTAGCTATTCAGTCCAAATAAATTTAATTTTCTTCAAAGAAGTGGTCTCATTTGAAAAAATACAGGTAGTCTTCAACTTACAATCACAATTCAGCCCCAAATATTGGTTTCTAAATGAGACGTTGTTAATTAAACTTTTGTCAATTTTTCTACTTTTTTGCTCTAGGTGTTAAGTGAATCACTGCAGCTGTTCAGTTAGTAACACAGTTGTGAACGATATCTGGCTTTTCCATTCATTTTGCTTGTCAGAAAGTCGCAAACGATGAATTACATAACCCTAAGATGCTGAAACCATCATAAATACATGCAAATTTTGATCATGTGTCCATGGGGATGCTGCAATATCATGTGAAAAGTCATCATAAGTCATTTTTTTTAGTGCCATAACTTGAAACGATCACTAAATGAATAGTTGTAAGTCAAGGACTACCTGTACTTTGTAATTCTTGTGCAAGTAGAATACTTATAAATATCCATTCACCAACTTAATATTTAGAAAATGAAAGCTTTGGAGATTTTTCCACTATATAGCCATTTGCACATGACAACCCAGAATTCTTGGAAATCAGACTTAACCATAAATAAACAGATGCTGGTGTTTTATTCAGTTTACCTTGCTACCAGGAATGCATGATTTGCTTACCTTTCTGCCTGAAGCGGTAAATCTGCTTACTTCTCTAAGATGGAAGACTCATAAGCCAAGAATGTATTTATTTCAGCTTAATAGTAGAGAAATAACTCAACATTCTCAACTCAACTCATGTATAGCATTCATTGAACCACAGAGTTATCCAATTTTTTTTCCTATGGTATCACTGAAGTGAAAAGGGTTATAGTGTTTATTATAAGAACAATAGTAATTCATGACTGTCCCAGAATTCACAAATTTTCTATTTCTGTAAAGCTGGTCTAATTGCTTTTCAGCATAGGAGAATAGGTGATTTCAGTAAAAAAAATACTTTTAAAATCTATTTCCAGAAATTGTTTCTTTAATATCATAAATTAATTTGAAGCATTTATTCAGAAATATTTCCTTTTTTTTTTTTTTGCAGAGTTCGAACGTTGATTGAAGAAGGTTATGATGACAAAATTGTGATTGCTCATGATATTCACACAAAACATAGACTAAAGAAATATGGTGGCCATGGATATTCTCATATTCTTGAAAATATTGTCCCAAAAATGCTCATGAGAGGAATATCTCAAAATAAAGTTGATAAGTTATTGCGAGAAAATCCCAAACAATGGCTGACGTTTAAATAAGAAACCTGTGGTCCTGTTTATTTCAGGGAAAGTAAAAAAAAAAAAAAATAGAATTCTTCTTCAATTGAGGAAAATAGAATTGTACCTTTAGAATACAAAATAAGAAAATAAGATTTGTAATGCCTTAACCCCAACTTTTTGATTGTATGCAACTTAAAACAACTGCAAAATAGATGTATTTCTGGAAAAAAAATTATGTATAATGAAACATCCATAATACGAAGATAGAGCATATCATGTGAATGAATCAAAATTATTTTTAAATGGCTTGTATGGAATTAATTGGATGGAAAACATCCATTTGAATTAATCAGAATGAGAAACCTCAATCATGATGTGGGTCATATCTGAATGCAGATGCCATTGTTTTGTGTGTAAGTCCTTGATAGAATTATTACAAAGTTTTGTTTTTTAAAAATGGACATCCTAACATGAAATGCATTGTGCTTTAAGTATATCCAGCAATAAATCCATCCTTGCCTCACCTCGTGCTATACATGTCTACTTATAGGTTCATTTGAGCAAAAAACTTCACATGTGAACTGGGCCTTTTCATTTCCAAAATGCAACACACAGCATTGCATTTCAAGGTGCAGTTCGGGGTGGGTTCCGGCTTTTCTACTGCTGGTTTGCTCAGGGATGCGCTTTGCGCCCGGACTTTATGCATGCTACGTACGCATGCACAGTAGTAAAAAACTGCTTCTGCACATGTATAGAAGCCGAAACAAGATGGCGGCACCTATAGCGCAGCCAATAGAATCGGTTTGGGGGCGTGGCAGGCCAAGTTACTACCTACTCGGCCGAACTGGTAGGAACCCACTTCTGGTATAGTTGAAACTATTGCTTTCCTGAAAAGCAGCCCCTTTGCATAGATCCACCTACTTCTCTGAAACATGACTCTTCTGTTTCTTGAAATATGCATTTTAACAATTTGGGGAAAAAATCAATCTGTTTTGCTGTAAGTCTAAATTGCATATCTTGTCCAACAAGTGGAATTATGAGTTATAAGATTCAGAGCTGAATATCAGAATTTGTTGCATGTTTTTTTTAAAAAAAACAGTTCTAGGTATGCTTTGGCAAACTGAAAAGTAAATGTCTCGATCAATTTACAAACTGGCATTATCAAGAAAATATATATTGATATTTAATGAAATTCTTTTAATGCAATCCAGAGTGGATGATGATAGAATTCATTTGGCCCTTTTAAGGTGATTTTTGCCAAGTATGCAGGAATTTGCCAGATAATCACCAGAGATCAGGGAGAGAAGGAGAGAAAGGAATGGAGATTGTTTTGAGAATTAAAATCTAATATTAAAGCTAATATATAAGAGACGTTAGGGTTGTACCAACAAATATGATTGCAGTTTAAATGTATGGTTATGAAAGAAAAGAGTCAATTCAATCTAACTTCTGAAAATATATGGAATATATTGGATTGTACATAAATAAATTCCATTTCACTGGAGATGTTCTCGATATGGTGATCTTAAATATATTAATAGGACAGATTTTTAATTTATTTTGGCAAAAATTACTTTTTTGAAAGTGCATTGAAGAATAGATATAACAAACACATCAGGAATCTACTTTTAAGGTGCTTGAGAACCAAGGTGCTTGGTATAGCAAATAAAGGTGCCAGACTAGAAACCAGGAGACCATGAATTCTTGTCTTGTTTTAAGATACAGAGCCAATTGGGTGACCTTGGGTCAGGCCCTCTGAACTAGTGAGAAGGAAAGGAAAAGCTACTTCTAAAACATGCTGCCAAGAAAAAAACAATGACTTGTCTGTGTAGTTACCAGGAATCAAGATTGATTTAAAGTATCTTCATAAGTAGATTTATAGTGCCTATTTATTTAGTCACAGTAGCACCTGAGCAGGTGTTTGTCTGGGTTTTAAAACTAAGAAGAATTATTTAGCATTTCAATGGGAGATTACTGAGGAATTCCAGGGCTGGAAGGGATCTTTGAGGTCTTCTAGTCTAACAACCTTCTCGGGCAGGAACCCCTACACCATTTGAGATAAATGTTTGTCCAATCTCTTCTTAAAAATCTTCAGTGTTAGAGCAGCCATGATTTCTGGAGGCAACTCATTCCAGTGATTGTTCTAATTGTCAGGAAATTTCTCCTTAGATTTAGGTTGCTTTTCTGCTTGATTAGTTTCTATCCATTACTTTTTGTCCTACCATCAGGTGATTTGGAGACTAAATTGACCCTCTCATCCTTGTGGCAGCCCCTCAAATATTGAAACACTGCTATTTTGTCATTCCTAGTTCGTCTTGTCATTTCTTTTCAGGTATCTGAGAAGGCATGACTGCCATGTTCTTGCTTAAGAAAATTGCATGGATGGAGGACTCAATTTCAGAGTATAGTTTAACTTTTTCAGTTATTTTAAAGAATATTATACATAAATAAGTATATGGAAATTGTTTATGGAATATAACTGAAATAGTTCATTGAGTCTCTTCATTCCACAAAAATAGGCTTAAATGAACCATATTTGAAAACCTCCTTATACATACACATATACAATCCTATTTCATATTCTCCTAAGACCTCTTTGCATTGGACTGATAATGAAAGATCACATTTACAAGTTTGGCATCTTAAAATATGCACTCCTCTACATAAATACTCAGAAGTAAGTCCTATTTGAATCACAGGTTAATTTGTGTTAAGTTGGTAAACAAATTAAGTCTAGATGTGTCATTACTGAGTTCAGAGCCTAATTATAGACAATAAGTTTTTAATATATAAAAACTTGATATTTAAGTTAAAAGAATAATTAAAAACCTATTGTATTATTTGCTGGAGATTATTCATTTTTAGATAACCTTTCTTTATGAAATGTAGTGTGTAACTATTATATAGTATTAACAGATTGTGAGCAAGATTATTATATTATAAACTATTATAATATTTGACAAATCTTCAGATCAAAGCCCCAAAGATACTTGATAGCATCATGGAGTTTATGTGGCATTTCTTTTGATACAATAGAACAAAACACCACATATATACTACCATTAAAGCAGTTTACTTCTGAGCAGATCTGCATAGGATTGTGCTGCAAGCTGTACCCCACCCCACCATCAGCTTATACAGCTAACTCTATGTGGGATGCTTCCTGAAGTGCTAAGATGGGCAAAATTAGCAGGTGCAAATTAGATTTTAAAAGCCCGTCTATTCAGTTATATCCATAACTACCTATATTATATCACTGCTCCACCACTGGGGTGAAGTTTGCATAGGACTGTAATTGTAAATGGCACGTAGTATGAGATTTGAAAGGTGTTGAAAAAAAGCTACTAAATTCTTTTAGTATGCAGCAAGAAAACTGAAATATTTTTCTACTCTGTTGTAACTTATGATGCCCAACATTCAACATTTAACTTGTAGCAAACTGCTGCTCCTGAGTATCTACATCATGAATTCTATCCCTTTTAATTTCTTAAACAGTAATAAAATTATATTCTTAATAAATATTAGAAATAATACCGCCAACACTCCTAGTCCCAGAATATAGGGTTGCTGTTTTTTTAATTTCATATTTTGTTTTCATGGAATGCAATTGTTTTATTATTGTTTCTGACTCTTGCTTTGCATACAGAAATCTGGCCATTTACTTCATATTCATATTCTTGAATATGTTCTTACTCTATCAAACTAAATGGGACAATCCTCCTGGTTCTAGAGGGGAGTATGCCTGTAAGGAATTACATAATATTAACAATTGCATAATATTGAAGCAATAACAGAAAATGAGACAATTGTGCTGTAGTTGTATTTTCATCTAAGTACAACAACATTAGAGCTAAGCTTTGAAGGAGCCCTGTTTCCTATTTCTAAATAGCCAAGGAACAGAAATATTAGGCAAATATATCCCTTGGCAGGAACAGTAGAATTTCTCTTACATCTCCCTTTTATTGAAAAACATTCTTCACTATATACTCAGAATTGGCTCATAGTTAGCAGACAAGTCATAAGCACCAAAGCTGATGGATGAAGAAAAGCAGCATGAAATCATAGCACACCAAGGATACTACATATGCTGAAGAAGTAATTTGGTGCTCTTTTTTCTTTCTCTCTATAAAAAATTGTGATTTATATAGAATTCATTCACATGAACATTAACAACAAGGACTATTTTGCTTTGGTGATAGATCACACACCTCTTACACTGGTTCTAATTTTTTAAACATCTTTCTCTGGGTTGTACAGATATGGGTTAGGTAGCATTTGGCTTCACTCCTGAAGAGTCTATGACCAATATCCCTTGGGCTTTTTTCATCCTTTTATTTTTGCCAAGAGAATTGATCATTAGAAGGTCATTTAGTTTGTGTTTAATATCAGTCAGCATAAATTATAAATCCAGAAAATGTGCTGTATTTGTTGTTGTTTCCTCCATGTGCTTTTCCACCATCTAATTTTATATAGACTTCATCTCCTGGTTCCAAATGTAGGACCACGCTGTTGCTGGCATAATCATAGTTTTGATCTGCATCTTGTGCGATGGCACTAGCTCGCACCTAAATAAAATACAGAAAAAAAGACTGTTCATAATTTTAGTACTTGTCAACACTCAGGAATGAAACTGCATGTTCACTTGCAAGTTCCAACTTATATTTTTGGTATTTTTTCCCTTTACCACTGCAATCAACATTTCACAAAAAAGCCAGTTATAGCTGTAGTAAAGCCTAGTACAACTAGGAACAAATATTCTGTTGCCTGACTATCACTGACATCCCTAAGCAAAAATAACACATCTGAAATCCTTTTAAACTAATTTAGCATGTCACTTGTTTTTGTTTCCGATTCATACACTATCTTCAAAGTTTGTGCTAGCCTGCATGGACGTTACTCCATTTAGTTTCATATGATCTGCTGAGAAAGATGAGCTGTAATAATGAGCTGAATTCAAAATAATTACTCCAAATCTCTAACCATTTTGAGATTTTTTTGTGATCTGCCAACTCCTTTCCCAATCTGACATTCTTTAAATATATTTGGGTTTGCAAATTCAACATTTTTACAAGTTTCATTGGATTTTTCATGGAAGTTCAAAATAATATGTAATATATGGCTTTTGAAATAATAATATGGAAAATTATAATGCAAAAGCTGTTGTCATCATTACATTACATTATTTCACTAGATTACAGTAATATAATCCCACTGATTTTTTCACCAGGTGAAGCTAGATGTGTATCAATATGATAGTGTATGATTCCTATCAGTTCTATATCCAAATCAGGACTTGTGAATAAAACAAAGAATGCAAGATTTTGGAAGTGTAAAGGCAGTCAGTATGTAATCCATTGATGCTCTTAGATCTGAGTCAAAAAAATTTAATGCTCTTCAATAAAAAAGATCAAATTGAAATATGGATCATCTGAAAAAGCAATGTGAGTGTGAAATCACCAGGTAACTATCATTATTCTTTTTAATATTAGTATTAAAAGATTTTCATAAAATCAATATTGAAATAAATATTGCATAGTCTTGAGATTCTAGTCATATACAATTATTTAAGCCTTCAAACTCAATATTTGTTTTAAAATATGTCATGTTAGATAACTATATTTAACAAATAGGCTACTTGAGGCGGCTAGCACATTTGATATCAGTTCAGCATATAACTAAAGAAGAATTGTATCAGATCATTTATATAGAGATGCATAAATTAACCTTTGATGACCATTTTTTGCAATATATTTATAGTTTTATCCTATTCTTTAATAGATCTATGATTTAATGGTTTTGGATGTCTGAACTAAAAAAATAGTTGAAGACTTGATATCTTCTGGATATTTTTGAAATTGGAAGAAGTACAATATGTAAAAAAATGCCTATACATGTCTTTCAAAAGTATAAATGATATACTTTTGATATGATGATATTAAATATTTATATGTAGCCCCATGTTAGTACAGAAATGTTAACAATAAAAAACTTCCTACCATGCAAGATCACACAGCGGATTAGAAAGCTTAGAAAACAGAAGCAGGAAAAAACCTCTTCTCCTGCATACCTTTTCTCCTGCATACCAAGCTTCAAGAAGGCTTATAGGATTTGTAATTACCTTGAACATGTTCCAATTTAAGATGGCATGATATAGAATAATATCCCACAGTTCAATTTTTGATTCATTACTTCAGAAATAATTTACTATTTATTGAGGTGATCTGTCTTGACCATGTTTTAATCAATAAATATCACAAGGGATATTTCCTTAAAATGAAGAAACTGTGAATGGGTGAGGACCTTAGAATTCGGAGGTCTGAAATGCACATTCTTTGGATCTATGCTCTATCTGAGGCAATAATTCTAAATAACAAAGAGGAGAGTTATACCTTTTGGTGTATGTGAATGATTATTGCAACATGAGGTGAAATAGTTATTTCCTGCATTTCACTAGGTTTAAGTATTTATATGATATTCAAATTCCTGATGCTTTATCTAAATATTTATTGGAATTACATGATGCTTGATATTACAGCTGATAATATTGGTGCTTTTATCATATGACATAAACCCTACCTTTGGCAGTAAATGCTTTAGCTTTATACATTTTGAGGCAATGGACAGATGTCACATAAATGCATAGTATTGCTTACTGTACACTATCATAGAATAGAAACCATAGTAAGGGAAGTAAAAAAACTGATAACTTTCTTTTTAGCTACTGGGCCTTGCATCTGCATTAACTTGAATCCCATATTCATTGTACTACCTTTATAGCTTTTTCTCTTTTGTTTTGTTGTTGTGGGTAGATAGGATAATCTCTATAAGGACAGCCTCAGTGGAATATTCCAAACAGTATTACTGTACACCTTAAAGGCATCTCCAAATTAAAACAATGTGGTGTACATTACATAAGTTTCATGACTGCTCACCACATTGGGCTATAAAGGTATACAGGGACAGTCAAACTGCAAACAAACTAATTATGTTGTAGTCTCAGCAGTTCTATATTTATGCTAACTATTAAGAAAAGCAATAAGCTATGTGGGAATCCTTCAAATATTCAATATGTTTCTCTTAAATATTTTCTCCCTTACAAGTCGCATGTATTTCAGGACTGATATTTTTTCTCATTGCTATGCAATCTATAACACGTTGCCCTCTTTTTAAAAGATAATTTGTCCACCCTACCAATAATTTGCATAGAAAATTCAATTCTCACAGTTCATTAGCTATCAATGCTATAAGATCAAATCATTGCCCATAGAATATCAATGGATTACAGCTAGTCATCAATATTAAAAAATGGCTTAAGGATTGCTTATGCCTGCATAAATATGAACTGAATTCAGTACTAGCAAGATCAATATTTGCCTGTTTGTTTGGTGACTGAATTAATTTATAAATGTCTGGAGCTATAGACTTAGTCTATCTTCAAGCTAATATGAACATTTGTTTTCCTACAACATGCCATACACTAGATTTTGTTCTCTTTTTATTTCAGTCAGATTTTAAATAGAAATAACTTTTTCCTTGTAATCTGATGTAAATGTGAGAATTGTACATTAACTGTTTTAATTAATGTAAACCAATATATAGTATTTACGAGTGAGACTTTTGTTTATTTGATTATAGTATATGCTTCCTTAGTTTTATTTTTCATCTACTAGTCAGAAGATATAAACACAAGGTTAAAAGCCATGCATGATTAATTTATCATCCTCTGATGACCCCATCTGTAATATTCAGTCAATCCAAAATTGAGGTGATTAAAAAGTGCTCCTCTGGGTACAACACATTGGTATTCTGCAAAACAAAAAACAAAACAAAACAAAAAGCCTCCAGTAATTTCCAATTTCATTCTTCTTCTTTTCAGGAACAGGATACCTTCCAATGTCCATATTTGAGTTTTTGCAAGATATTGGTTAAATGCAGGGAAACCATGCTCAGTTTTAGCTATAATTTTAACACAAATGCATAAACAAAAAGCAAATATGAATTATTTCTGGTATCTCTTAATGTAGAAGTGGCAATAAAAGAGAAAACAGCCATTTATGTTTTCAGTACAACAGATCACACATAGTTTGCACACACAATGCTTACCTGTACTCTAAGTGTAAAAACTCTTTAGTATTTCCTGATAAGGATTGTGAAATCAACAATCAATCAATTAAGATAAGTCTTACAAATTGGCATTATGTCATCAAATTATAATTTTACTTTGATTTTCACAAAATTATTTGGACATTCATTTTGCAATTCATTTTTATCCAGAAACCACTGAATTTTTGTGGGAACAAATCCATCTAGTCATTACTATTTATTTCTTAGTCATACAATTATCAATCACGCTTACAAAGACATTAATGAATACAAACAATTAGCATATAGATGACATCTATAAAGTTATATGCATTCATTATTGTCCATGTAAGTAAGATATAGGTAACACTACTGCAAAATGATTAAAATTTATAAACCATTTTATAAACTTTCATGATCTTTAGTATCAGAAGAGTTCTGCTTTGACTTTTTGCCAAAAACTTGGGGAAAGCAGAACAATTATACCTTCTCTAGAAAGTCTCAAGAACATGGTAACAAAACCTGATTTCTGACAAAACTTTATTCTAAGACCAAAAGATTCAATAAATCAAGTGGAGATTATCCATTTAAAATAATTGGGCCTTAGTTTAATTATATTTTAGCATTGATTTCACTTTGTCTATTCCAAGTCTTGTACTGTTAGTAAGCTAGAAATGAACTCACAGACACCCATTTTCAGTGGACTTATTTGCAATTCCAAAGGGAGCTATGGCTCAATAAGTATGTATAGATGTTGCATTATGAGATGCTAAAGTGTTGGCTTAATTTTGTGCTTATAAAACTGGGAATAATTCTCCCACCTTCCCAAGTTTCTCCAGAATTTTATATTTTATTTTTATCTTTTCCATTTCTTTCGGGCTTACTCTCCTTTTGCCTAAAACTCTGCCAAAAGTGCGCTGAAGCTGTAACGCCGGCAGAAAATTCTCTCCATACACACTGGCCGCTTCCCTTCTTCACCCATTTTCTTGGTGCCTGGTATCCTAAGAAAGCGCCCGAAGGTTCCGGAGATCCCTTCGAAAACGCCCAGGTGTGAGTGAAGTAGATCCTGGGCGCACGGAAGATGGAGAAACTGGGCTTTGAAGGAGAGAGATTTTCAGGGCTGCTGCCCGGTTCGTCATTCATCTCAAAAACTACCACCACCACCCCAAGATAAAAGCCCCCGGGAGTATTTGGAATTAATAGAGGGCTCTTTGTTTCCAGTCTGGGCCGCCGTACCAGGAGGCCCTCGGGGAAAACCTCTCTCAGGTTGAAAGGCGCGGTTGAAAGAAGCCGCTCAACTCGCCAAGCGCGGCCCGGCCTTCTCTTTCCTCCTCTTAAGCCTCCCCTAACGAGCCGGGGCTTCTATCCAAGCTTCGCCCGCGCCTTGTGCAGACTTGGGGAAGCTTCTCGGATAGCGAAACCGGCTTTTATTTCGGATGCAAACCTCTTAAGGAAGAAGAGGGCGCTTCCTAATTGGCCCAGTTGAAACAGGCGCTCCTGGTTTCCTTCTCCCTCCACAACCGTCTTTAGTACTGTAACAATTTCTCCGTTGTCGTGCAGGATTCCTATAAGCTGCTTTTTCCTGGATGTGGAGAAGCTTCTGAAGTTACAGCCCCGCACCTAGACCATTAAGGTTTTCCCTCGCCTGCTTTCTATGAGGATTGCCCACTGGGCCGCTCAGCCACATGCCTGGGGGTATTGGAAATACGATTCCCGCTCCACTGGCTCACTCCTTCCCGCGTCCATAAGGGCAATGCAGATTGCTCCTTTTTCTCAAACGACAGCAAATGCTCCCCAGCAGGGCCCAACCCCACGTACGCCTTATTCCCATCTACTTAAACTCTTGTTAGACTATATTTCCTATGCCCTCCACCCCGCAATAAGTCTCCTGAGTTTCTCCCTTCCTGCCTTCTCGTCTTGGAAAAAAAATGCGCCCAGTTTACGTCATTGAGTCAAGACTGTTAGTACATTTCCCCACTCCACTCGATATCCAAGAGCGTCTTCCATCAGAAAAAGGCAGGTACTGAAAGCGTGAAGAACCATTTCTTGGCCCACTTGTTGTGGACATAATGCCAGGCGATTCACGAAAGAACAAGGCGGAGCCCTTCAATCGATGCCCACCGGCTACTTCTCCGTATTGCCTGGCATAAGCAACGGGCACACTGTTTTGGGAATGGGACGTGATGTGTGGCACAGTTGCCTTCCACTTTCGCTCTTGGAGATCTCGAAGACAGCCGGAAGGTATTAGATTGGGGAAAGCTCAAGACGTCGCAAGTAGACAGCAAACTTTACTTCGCTATTCACACATATGCCGTTACCCCCGATTAAAGTACCAGATCTATTCCCGTGTACACCTATTCCCATGTATACCTATTCCCTTGTACACGACCATTACCGATAGCTGTGCAGTGTTCTCACAAATCGTTGACAGCCGGCTATCCAAATAAGGATTTGTCAAACTAACCATTTCTCATGTTAAAAACGGTGTATGTGTGCGCGCGCGCGTGCGCTTTGTTTGTTTGTAATTTCCCAAAAGAAAGAATATATATCTGCCTCCAAGGAGTCAAAAACAAGAAACCTCAAACATTCGCTGCCTTGTTGACAACATGCTGCTGTTCTGAACCCAGAAATCAAAAGCAGCAGCAGATTACAATCGAGGTAGGAGAGGATGTTTTTTCCCCCAGTCCTGGGGCCACAACCGAATTCATATTTATTAACATTTTCACCGAAGTACTAAGTTTCTGCCTAGACCTGGCCTCATAGTCTTACTCGGGAAGTAAACTCGGTTTGGGTCTATCTCACTATCTTCCCAATCTGTCCTTGCCAGCCTAAATTCCTACCAAGATATTGCCTTTTGGGGTGCCCACAGACAGAGCCTGGGTGGCGCTCCTCTCCCGGATTACCTTCATCTTCCTCGGGTCCCCGAGCTCTGTTAGCCATGCGAGCACCTCCCCATGGGTTTTCTCTTTAAGGGTGCAGACTCACCTCTTCTAGTGACCTTAAATCCCCAAAGGCTTGTAGCCTTCCTACGCCTGCAGAGACGAACCTATTTTTACTCCCACTGGATCTTCAACTTCCTAAGCTACTTTTATTTTCCTGGAGGCTCTCCTAACACTTACCGGTCGAACTCTGTGTCCGATGAGAGAGGTTTTTTTTCCCCCTTAATTTTTTTTGTCCGCTTTCTCTAACCAAACTCTGCCAGAGGCGGCTGCTGGCGAGGCGGAAATGCAACATGCAGAAGTCCAACTAACGCAGCTATCTACCCCGCGCTGATAGTTGAATTTTTGCCTCTCCAGGATGAGCTTTGGCCGAGAAAATTTAGAATCCCCCCCCCGCTCCGCCGGGGCTCATTCCTGCGCCCTGGAGCTCTCCCCGGTCCCACCTGGTTATTCTTGCAGAGGTCAGCCCACATGCTGGTGCCATCGCCGCCCCGCATGAGCACGTGGTAGGTGAAGAAATAGATGCCCGGGATGGAGCAGGTGAACTTGCCGGTCGTCGGATCGTAATGGTTCCCCAGGTTAGTGACGACGTCGTCGAACTTCAGGACCTCGTAACCCTCGTGCTGGCGCTTCAGGCCCGCGTAGAAGGCGATCTTGGGCACCGTGCTGTAAGTGGCGGCACTGATCGCCCCGGCCGCGTTCAAGCCCGGAGCTCCCGGCGGGCCAGGTAGACCCTGGCGCCCGGGTTCGCCTTTCTCTCCTGGCGGACCCACCGGCCCCGGCGGACCTGGTTCCCCCGGGGGCCCCCGAGGCCCGGCTTTACCCGGCCGGCCGGCCTCACCCTTGGGGCCTTGGATGAAGGTGGGCAGCGACTGCATGAGGCCGCGGTCGGGTGTGGCCGCCGTGCTGGGCACCTTGGTTCCGCCGTAGGGGTCGCAGACCATGCGGCAGGTGCCCAGCATTTCGTAGTGCGCCGATGTTCCCGCCGAACTCACCAACACCGGGATGAGGATGACCAGCAGCAGCACCATGACCACCCCTAGTGCACCGGCCGCGATGAGCCGGCGCCTGCTGCCCACCAGGCGGCTCAGCGCAGGGCGATCCTCTTGCCTGCTTTTGGACAAAATCTTGATGGTGGGTCGGGAACCTCTTCCAACCGAAATCACCGCGGGGTAGCCTCCCCGCGTCCGTGGGGCCTTGTCGCCCTCTTCCTCCCGTCGACCGGGAGGGTCACGCGGGCAGATATCCTTCGCCAGATCCCGAAGCTCCGGGAGCCTTGCTCCGCGCCGCTGTCGTGGACGGCTTGGCTTCCCGTCTGGGGCACCTGTGGCTGCCGCCGCTGTTAGGCTGAGTGGAGTCGCTCACACTTTTATGCTGCGGCTGGCGATCGACTTTTTTTTTCCCCGTCTATGCCAGCTCGAATCAACTTCCCTTCTGCTCCTCCCGGTCGCCTCTTTTGCGGTCTTCTCGCGGGTCGCTCCCCCTCCCCCTTTTTTCTTCCCTCCCTTCTTTTTTTCTTTTTTTTTCTTTCCTTCTTTCATTCATTCATTCTTACTCTTCTGCAGCGACGCCAAATCTCCGAGGGCAGCGGGGGAGAGCGCGTGGGAGCCTGGGATATTCCTGCTCGCCACTTGCGCTGGGAAGAAGGAAGGAGACGGAGGTGCCTCTTCAGCTCTGGCTCACTCCCTCACCGATGCCGCTGGAGGGTCCCCAGTCGCGAAGCCCCAGTCTGCGCTGGAATGGAGCAGAGCGATGAGCGCAGGAAGCCGGCTATCGCGACAAGAGGAGGCTGCTGAAGGCGCGGGGTAATTTATAAGCACCCAAAGGCGCAAGGGAAAGAGGAGCTGCTTTGGCATCTCATCCCAGCATCTGCTGCACTCAGCCCACTCACAGAGAGTTTGGCATCTCTCTGACAAGTGTGGGGAAATGTTTTCCTCCCCTCTCCTCTTTCCCTGCTTCCCCCTCCCTTTTTATCCCTTCTCACTGAGCAATGAAATTGGGAGCTCTCTTCTTGCCCATTCTTAAATGTTGTGGCCGTTTTCTTGCTGGAGTAGCTCATGGAAGGTAGAGAGATCTACTTAGGACCTTCTTTCAGTCTTTGATCCTGAATATAAAGGTCAATGCTGCTCCTTATTTAATGGTTCCCCCAGTGGCCTCTGTCTGTCATGTGAAATATCACTTTGAATACAAGGGTAGTGTATTACAATTCACCTGACAACCCAGTGCGCACATGCATGCACGCACACACACACTCACAAACACACACACTGCTGCTGCTGCTTCTTGGAGTAACCCATGATTTAAAGCACACACAAAAAAAATCTCATTTCTTGCTTTCTTGCTCTTTTTCTGGAATTCACAGCCAGAGAAGGGAGGCTCACCCCCTCCCCATATTCAATAAATGTTTGAAGCTGTGATACATGTTGCTTCCTGGATTTCTCTTTATTTAAACATTTTTGTAGACCTTCCTGTACATTTGGTGGCAGAGTTGAATGTGCTTTCCTGGCATGGTCAACATGTATCATATCACTTCTGCCCATCTCTGGAGCAGATAGCAGCAGCAAATTGACCTTCTTCCAGATGCAAAACAGAAGGAGGCCACCACCTTAAACCCCACAAACCATTGATTCTAAATTATATTTCTACAGTAGGGCTCAATTGGATGTCATTTCAATGAGGGATGACATTTGCTTGTCAATATGGAGATGATGGTTTGAAAGAGTGTGAGATATTAGAAGCAGGGTAAGCATCTGTAATAAGCAAAAGTGGTCTGAGAGTGGGGAAACAACTGGTGCATGATGACCAAGAAGCTGTGATCTTGTCCAAGTTGTTGCCTTGAACAAATCTCTTTTTTACACACCTCCTTATACTTCAACTCCCCGTTTTCCCTTTCTGTTCCAGAAGACAATAAGGTCAAAGAGGCAGACAGCAGGAAATATCTATTGATCCTTTCTTTTACGCAGAAATGTCAGCAGCTTCTTGCATTTTTCCTTAAGAGAATCAAAAGGCGAAGAAGTGAGTGACCATTGTAGGCCAGAGAGATGAGTTGACCCAACTCCTTATCTCCTCAACAGCATGCTGATAACAAAAAAAAGGAAAAGGGTTTTTTTCACTTGTAAATATTCTTACCATTCTCTTTTCCTGATTTTTGTCAGAGTTCAACCTTTTATAATGTCCGTATCTCACAAACACACAACCCAGTTGACAGATCCCTTGGCCTTCAATACCTTCAACACCACCATTCCCCCCTCCCACACATACACACACTGGCACATTTTGAAAGAATTGGAGAGGGGAGAGAGATGTTATTTATGCAATATCAGTTTCTCCCAAGAGGAAAACATTTTGAAAATTTCATCTTTGTAAAAAAAGAAATAACATAATACGTCTCTAAAAATCAAACATTTATTCAGTTTTCCATAGTCTTCACATCAACATGGTGTTTTCATAACAAAGTTGGTTATAAGCCCCTTACCTTCTGTGTGCTAAAATGTGTGGATTTCTGTTTAGCTAAAAAGCTGCACTTTCTAATAGGTGGTGGAAGTGGGGGAAGGTTTCCCAAATGCAAAGAAATAGTGATAGAAAAAGGAAAGCTTAATAGGATATGCTTCCCAGAAAGAAGAGATATTAATAAGGACAGGTACAATATGTGATTGGATGTGGGATGAAAAGAATGGAACACATAGGAAAACAGGACGACTGGCTGACTAACCCTGGTTATACTGTGCTGCCACATTTTGCTGCAGCTCTTATTTGTCTTCTTTACAGTAATACCAATCTGTAAAAGTTGGAATGGCCCTATATACATCATGCCCATGTTGCCTTAGGAAACTTTAATGAGGCTCAGACAGTTTGATAGATGTCTGTGCCTGTACACTGGTTTATAACCTACTTGTTCAGGTTAAACATAGAGAAACTCTGCCAATATTATCCCCTATTACTCCTGCCTTAAGTGCTTGGGCTGTTGCAAATTCTGGTCTCTTCTTTGCTTCACCTGCCAGTGAGAAGATATACATAAAGCGAAGTGCAAAATTCAGGATTTGTTCACTTCTTTGCTAGAACAATAATTTCCAAATCCATCTTTAATTAGGGAGCCACAATGAACTACAGAAGTTCATTATAATGAACCTCTGCTGTAGAAGAATCTCTGCTGTAGACATGAGAAGTGAAATATGAGTGATTTGTACTAAGCTTTAATTCATTATGATTGTTTAGCTGAATACAGCTAATTCTTTAAAAATAGTGATGATCTGGTTGATGATGATAATGATGATGATAAAATAGGTGAAAATATCAGACAACAGATTTTCCTCCTGTCAATAAATTTTCTCTCTTTAAGGTCATACAACACATTTCCAGCAGTTCCATTAGCAATTCAGCTCTCAGTCAAGCTACACCTGCAGGTTTGAGACAGATGCCCCAAGTTTTTCAAATTCCATTATTACCAAGGTAGGAAATGCATGCAGCGTGTGATATTTTGAAGCCTTTCAATCTGTTTATCAGCAGTTGCTGTAGAAGTTGTTTGTATTTCTTTCTGTTTAATGAAGAAAAGTGTGGATTTATTCGTGCACATCCTGCAAGTTGCGGTGCTTTGGCTTTGCACTTGTATGCCCTGGCAAGTGATATCCCTCCATGCAACAGCTCCATTGCTCTCACCCACAGATGCTTCAAGGAACATTTTGGGGAAATATTTTGCTATCCAGACCAGATCAGACCACTGATCTTTCTTTTCTGAGCTTCCCCAGGCATTGCAGACCAAATTTATCTCATTCTCCTCAGTTTTTTGTGAATTAATTTATGGATGGACAAAGATATGAAAATCTGACCTCGTTATATAATTTCTTTTTAACATTCTGTTGGTTGAGAAGGAATACAAATCACAATCTCTTAAGTGGGACTAATATACTACCCTGAAAGGTTAGAAAGCCTGACTATAGGTCAGGTATATGTATTAGATCCCTTTTCTCAAACTTGGCAACTTTGCCAAATGTGTGAAATTTAAGCTCCTGAATTCCCCAGCCACCATGCCAGAAGGACAATTCTGTGACTTGAAATCTATACATCTTAAAATATAGAATGTATTATATCCTAATCAGGGATGTGATGTCATATATCTTGTTCCATGTAGCTGATGTTTTCCAACAATGGAAAGGGGTGGAGTATTATGGTTCTTATTTTATTGTTGTAAGCTGCCCCAAGTCATCTATATATGAGTTGGATGGCCATACAAATTTAATTAACAAACAAACAAGGTCCATAGTGAGGATCTTGTTTTCCTATTCAGTAGAGCTACTAATGTTTGGCTGCAACTGTCCAGACATCCACTACATACATACATACATACATACATACATACATACATACATACATACATACACACACACACACACACACACAAACACTACATACACACACACACACATACACACACACACACACACACACAAACACACACACACACACACGTATGGAGGAGAGGTGTACACATACACACACCAGAGAGAATCTCAAGTCCACACTGTGCACAGACAATTTGTAATGGTGTTTGGTATTGATTTGAGAGCCAGTAGAAAGAGATGCAGCCTAGGGAATGATCAGATAAAATGGGTGGGAACATGCAGCTGCATAATAGGCATAAAAAGACCCCAAAAAGTTGCGCCCTAAACTTCTGAGACTTAGAAAGACAGCAGAGGATTTGTACTTTCAGAATTACAAGATTATCTTAATGTAATCTTACAGTAAAGTAGAATAAGATCATCTTGTCATGCTTTTGTTTTCTGGTTTACCTGGTAGAGCAAACAAGAGAAAGAATCAGAAACAGAGAGAGAGCGCGCGAGAGACAGACAGACAGACAGACAGACAGACAGACAGACAGATCTTCTGTTTTCTTGCTTCACTTTCCTTCTTTTCAGATTATTTGCTTTGTCCCCTTGTTTGCTCCACCCTCTGGTCCTAATTTCCTGCTTCCTTCTTGCCTTTGGCCATGGGAATCTAAGAAAAGTCAAGATGGTGCCCATGTTGATGAGGGCAT